CATTTCATAAAGGGCTACTTGTGTAGTATTCATAGTTACAGTTGATTGCAAGGACAGCAGCTTGCTTGTAAATGTACTGGGAAATATCCGCTTCATGGCTTGGTACCAGATCACGTTTGTTAGAATAGCCAACTACTCTCGAAATGCAGTTTTTTTTTGGGTGTTCACCATGTGCCTGTTGAGTGTCTCTGGCTCAGCAGGCAACGATGTACAGTGAAGCTATTCTAGCTAGGCGTAAAATGTTGTGACCCAGAATGATCAACTGGCACATTCACTTCATCTTCGCTCCCTGAACACTAGTGCCAATTTGTTCGGCATATAGCAAATGGAGAGCACAAATTGGAGAAATGAGGATGCGGAGGAAGTCTCAATGAAAATAAACTATGAGGCATGAAAACAGATATATATAAAGGCAATCTTGGTGAGAGAATTCCTCATAAGGAGGCGAGAATCAAATCTGCATACTGACAATCTGCATACTGACCACGTGGCTATCCAGGAATGGTGACAGTAAGCATAGCATAGCTTTCCGTGTGGCATATAGCAAGCATATATGGAGTGAGAGAATTGCAGAGAAGTCAAAGAAAGTGGAAGCAATACGTCAATGTCAGATTTCTTGGACGCCCCAAATTCCGGACATGCCCGATTTGCCCGGCCGATCTGTTCCCCATAACGTCACTGTATTGATGAGTCCGAAATTATGGAGGTTTGTAGAGTTCGCCATCTGATATTTTTTTTTACTTTTTAGCAGCTAACCACAGATTCGAAGGCACTATCGGCGCCGCCATTTTGGTTTTCGTACCCTTGAACCCATTGTGCCTCGGCTGCCATAATCTTGAAACCGCAAATGGTGTAATCCAGCGCACGCCTATTTCTTGCTACCCGTCGGTTAGTCAAACCTGTGGCCACAGCCGCATGGTGCTGTGCAGCCTGTGCTCGCCTGTGACAGCGGGAAAGGAACGCTGCTTACCTCTGGTATAAAACCTTTCCAGGCTCTGTACCTATGGTCTGCCGTCAGCATGCTTGCAGATTTGTGGAAGGCGGCTACGCAACAGACCCTCAGAAACTGTTTTCTCAGATGTCGTCGGCATAGAGGGTGTGGTAAAAGTGAGGCATATTGTAAAGAGCACGGGATAAGGGAATGAGTGTGGCATTGAAGAGAAAAGGAGAAAGGACTTAACTTTGCGGAGTAGCTACTCTGCCGAGGGTGTATGAAGAAGACGCATCGGGGCCCATATAAACCTCGGCAACCTTGCGGAGTGCCTACTCTGCCTAGGGTGTATGGAGGGGACGCTTTTGGCCCATATGAATCTCGGCCGTGCATCCCGAGAGAAAGGATTGTATGTAGGAGTACATGCGAAGGCCCACATCGAGGGGGGGGGTGGGGCGAGAGCCGCCATGATTGCTCGGTGTTCTACACGATCAAAGGCCTTGGTTGAGTCCAGGACCAAGACAGATTTAGTATGAGCAGGGATTGTCGGATCAAGGGTGTTTTGCGTCAGTTGAAGCATGGCATCTTGGGCAGAGAGGCATGGGCAGAAGCCCACAATAGTGTGTGGGTATAGATTGTTGTCGTGCTTGTTGTGAGTTAGTCTGTTTACTGCAACATGTTCCAGAAGCTTCCCTAGGCACGATGCGAGTGAAATAGGCCGAAGGTTTGATATGGTAAGGGGTTTAGGGACAAAGATAATCTTGGCATGGCGCCTGGATTGTGGCAGGGTGCGTTCCTTCCAGCATTTATTAAAGTATTCTGTAATCTGGGTAATCTATCCAGGTTACGGAGCATAGAATTAGTAATCATGTCTTTTCCATGTGCAGAGTTTGTGCGGATGTTTTGGAGAGCTATAAAAACCTTTTGCTCCTCCTGGTCCAGTCTTATTCGGGGCTCCTGTGTAAGGTGGGAGAGCCATGTGGGCGGGAGGTGCCGGGTACTGTGTGTGTTGTGCGGAGTTGGTCCAGAAGACTGTCAGGGGAAAGCGTCGAGTTGTGAAGTAGGCGTGTAATGTGACGTGTGGGATTGATAAGGTGCCGTAAGATCAGCTCATCGGCATACGCAGTTATTTGTGTCTGTAGCGTGGCCAGCCGGCGTTTCAGCATTCTGTTACGTTTATGCCGTTTCCATTTCTCCTGACTGTTGTGGTGCGCCTGAAGTGGGCTAGGCGTGTGTCCAATATAGGTGTGTTGGGTGGTGTGGTAATGTCTTGTGTGTGCGATAACGTCATTTAGGAGAAATGTGACCCCGTGATCAATGTCTTGTATAGGGAGCTCCTGACGAACAAGTCGTATAACGTCGCATTGAATAAGATTGTGGGTGAGTAGTCGAGGCCTGTGGGGTGTGTAAGGTATTTTTATGGTGATAATGTAATGGTTTCTTCCAAGTGTGTGTTGGGTACGGAACCACGAGATATCTTTGAGTGACAGGTTTAGTGTGAGGTGTGGGCTAGTGTCCATGGTTACACTATTGGTGATTCGGGTTGGTGTGTGAAAGTTATGTGTAGTGAGGCTCAGGTCTTGGATGGTAGTTCAAAGCCTGCAACATTTTTCTGTGGTGTACCGATAACCCCCAGTTGGTATGGTGAGAGTTAGTCACCGCATATAAGTAGGGCGTTTTGACCTGCGATGCGGTGAATTCTCTGCAGTACAGCATCGAAAGTGGCCATGGCCTGGCGTGGGGTGTGGCAGATATTGGCTAATAATATTGGAGGCATGTAGAGTTTTGTGGGGATCCCTATGAGGACGCATGAGGTGGGAGAGGTGATAGTGTGTTCTTAGTAATGGTGGGGAGAATGAGTGTGGTCACTCGGGGAGCGTGGGTGGTGTCTGAGTGTACCCGGAGCTCCTGGTCACGGGAGTCCGGGACAGGCGGTATGTTGGTCACTGGTATGCTGGTCCCCTTTGGCGTCTTCAGCTTGTCGGCCCATGTAGGTCGGTTGGAGCTTTTAGAGTGTCCGTCTCGTAAGTTAGCAGCTCAGGGCGTTGGGCGCTTGAATCTGATAAATGCTGTTCACAGAAATTCGAAAAGCAGTAAATTCGATCTTTTAGTGTATTCTAATTGACAGGGGGGAGACAGCTGCACATATTACACATTTTTGATACATTTCCATTCTCTTGCTCCAAGCTGCCCCAAAAGCATAAAAATCGTGAAAATTGTGCCAAACTGCCCCAGAAACAGCCTCGAAAGCTAAAATTTTGATGCCAACCTCAGCTTCAGCGGGGGCAAAAGGCAGAGTTGACTACGAAGTTGTGCCCAAGTGTGTTTTTTTACTTTGCACCTTTCTGGTGGTGAAGGCTCCCATGGTGCCGCCATAATCTCCTTTAAATTGTAAATATGCACGACCCTCCAAAAAGTGTGCTCCCGTGCATTGAGCGTGCTGCTTCTACTAGCTACGCTGTGTGTTCTGTTACCACTGTCGCCTAGCGAAAACCACAGTAAAATGGCAAGCGTAGCGGGGTTGACTCTCGGGTGCTTTGTGGTGCATAGCATGCTCCTCCGGTAGCTGAGATTTTCATGTCAACGTTGCTGCATGCGGGTCCCTACGTTTGCGGTGAGGGAGTAACTGTAAACGTGAAGTCATTTCCCTGCATGTGATGACTCTTCTGGATGCTCTTGCCTGTGCGCATTGGTTCTCAAAATAGGTTCTATGAGCGACAGAACACGTGCAACCCATTTCCGGTTTACGCCCATTAGCTTAGCTTTGGGTTCGATCAATGTTTCGGTCGGTGGCTGTTTCGCAATGTGACTGAAAGCCGGCCTCTGTACGTTCGGCAGTTTGTTTGCCTGGACGCGAATTTTTCACCTGTGCTGCGCTGTGCAAGTACTTTGAGGCCTGACCACACGTAAACGTTGCAACCTTGGCTCTGATGCAGCGTCACACCCTCTTGTGAAGATAGAGTGGACTTCAGCTTTGCGTGGCCACACGCCCATCAAAAAGCCACTCGCTGCAATGAGTATGTGTGGTCAGGCTTTTATGTGCGGCACGGATGGCAATCGCAAGTTGATGTATTATCGGAAGTTCTACATTGATGGTCATAACCTATAATGTTAAAGAAATTAGAACCGGCCGTAGGCCATATTAACGCGTTGTTGCTTGCATGGAGAGACGTTATCCGTATCTCATTAGCTTATCGCTTGGTGCCATATGCACACGCTTTAAGTGAGTCGGTGCAGCGAAGTTTCTTGGCTCCTGCGCTGCACTGTTGAAGGCGGTCCCGCAAAGTGGCCATCAATGGAGGTGCAGCGCGCTTTTGTACAAATGCTGGCAGGACAATTGACGCTATCATGTCGAGCTTTTCTTTAAGCGAAGGCTCACTGTTACGGAACTACGATTCTTGTGTAATCACACTTTCTGAATTTATTTTTGAGCGTGATGTGTTACTCTAAGTGTTTGCGGGGGATCTAGCTTTCAACAAAACCTTTAAATAATTCATATGTTCGTTATGGTGGTTAGATAAGTCATATGGTATTTAAAAAGGTAGTGCAGTTCACACCTGGCGATAATCTGTTTAAAAACTTCCTTAAAAGTCTGTTTTGATGAATTAAAGTATGCACTTGTGCCCCCACGTTGCTAAAATTTTTTGTTTTCAAGCTCCCCAGGATAACGCATTAAATGCCGCTAACTGCCCCAAAAGTTGAAATTTTGCTGCTCCAAAAACTGCTTGTAATTTAGGCTCTGTCGTCTCACCCTGGTAATTAAGCATGCATGCATTTGTGCTTAATCTTGTTAAGCGTGTGCTATTGTTGCTTCAACCTAGAAACAAATATTTGTATTTAAGAATGTTTGCAGTTTGTAACTGCTTCAGAAGGTTGTTATGCTGTTCTAAAAGGAGGTTTAACTTTGCCAAATTTGCTTGGGTCAATAGCATTGCTGCTGCAGGCTCAACCTCTAACACCATTTGGAAGCTGCATGAAAATGCGCTGTCACTGTTAGGCGGTGCGGTGCGTCTTGGGATTTCTCGCATCTGTTGCGTTGCACTCATGGAGTTTTTCTTCAATCCTGCAGGTTCATTTAGTTGGCCTGGACATTTTTACTGCAAAGAAACATGAGGATCTGTGCCCCTCAACTCACAACATTGATGTGCCCAATGTCAACCGCTGTGACTTCCAGGTCAGTGCTGTTTTAGAAGGTGCTGTGTTAGCATAACATGGGACTGTCCCTTCTGTGTGTGCTAGAAGAAAAACTTGGGGGAGTTGGTGGTAGATTGTCATTGAGAAGCAGCAGCGTGAGTATCAATACTCAATTCTCACTGCAATGAAATCGACAATAGAAAACGGAACAAGTTTTTTTTTTTCTGCTAGTTCTTCTGCTCGTGTGTTCGGCCACTCCAAGCCATTACGAGAAGGCGCCGCGCTGTGCCTAATTGCACCATGCTGTGCCAGAATGCCCACCCAGCCTAAAATGTTTCTCAATTGCTCTAATTTGAGCGAGCAATGGAGGCCACTTTGGCCACCTGTAGTTTGCGTCGTCAATCTCTGCGGGCAGACTCTAGCTCTAATCTGCAGTGTAAGATAGCTGCTCATTAGGACAAGACACTCTCGAAACGCGATCGACCAGGTGAAGTAACAACCCCGTGCGGCCGTTGGTCCGCTGACCCCCGCAGATATTTACAGGCAGGACGATGCTACTTCAAGACAAAAATGTGTTTGAAGTGTACAAGCTCTCAGCACGTTGAGTTTGTACACTTCCAGCTTTAGTTAATGCCGGGACCACGTTAGTTACCATAGATAGCATAGTCACGTGCGATAGATATCCGGTGTCATTGCCAAGCCAACAGGCACGTGCAGTTATTTATCTGGTCAAACCCGCCTTGCCAGCCAGCCGAGAAGTTGTGCCCTAAACTTAACCCCTTCATGGAAAAAAAAAATGGGGGGGGGGGGGGGGGGGCAGGTTGTGGTTCAAAAATTTTAATCTTGTTCTAACCGGTGCAGAAATACTGTTTAAGCCACCTTTGCCACAGTGCACGGGTGACGTGCGCAAAAGCATTACAAGATTTTGAAGGGGCTTATCGTAGTAGTCTTTAGACACAGCACAGTTTCTTCAATGACTGATGTGTGTTTACACCACATAATTGTGATTACTAATATGCTCGCTGGCCTTTTTTTTCGTGGGGTTATGCAGGCAACACTGTGTTGGCTTATATCCAGAGCCAAAGCCAAAAGGCATTGACTTCGCGGATGGCGGAAATGGGCTCGACTCTCTTTGTTACCATGCGCGCTGCGGGAGGTTCCTTGAACATGTTTTCGCGGAGCGGTAGCGTGTGATTCAGTCCTACCAGCTCACGAGATGTCTGAGAAGATATACTTTCAAGTTTTTATTCCCAGCTATTCGACTGACTTTCCATTTATTAAGAGGTCACGTAAAGGTGAGCGGTACGCATTTTGTAGTTTGTGCTGCTGTGATGTGAACATTTCGCACGCTGGTCGCTGTGATATTCTGCTACATGTGAATACGGAGAAATACAGACACGGGGAAACTTGGAGGGTACTTCAGCAAAGCGGATCTCGATACTACAACTCGAGCGGAGTGCCTTTTTACTGCGTTCCTGATTGAACACCACGTGCCGTTTACGGCTGCTGATCACGCCGGAGACCTCTTTCGAAAAATGTTCCCGGACTCGAAGGAAGCTAAGAACTACACCTGTGAAGGAAGCTAAGGACTACACCTGCGCCCGTACGAAAACTACGGCGATTGTGAAGGAAATGGCCAACAAAGCTATTGACGAAGTTATAAGTCACTTGCAGCATGCTCCGTTCTCAATCGCCACAGACGGCAGGGAGCAATGACGCCGGCAATGATGCAAAACTATATCCAATCGTGGTGACGTTCTGTGATAGTACTGTTCGCACTGCCTTGCTCGCGATGCCTGCTCTCGAAGGGAACTCCACGGGATGAAACATCGGTGCGCTTGTTGTGGACACGCTAACGAGCAAAAGGTACCGCTCCAGAACTGCATCGGCATGGAGTGTGATAACGTGCTAGTCATGATTGGATTGAAAAACAGAGTGGCTGCTGTGTTGAAAGAAAGCCATGAGAACATTGCCATCATGGGCTGCTGTTGTCATTTGATCAATCTGGCGGCACAGAAAGGCTCAGCATGCCTTCCACTGAATGTGGATGAGGTGCTGGTCGACATTTTTTGCTACCTCAAGAAAAGCTCGAAAAGGAAGGACAAGCTGAAAGCTTTTCAGTCTCTCCACGATGTAGAGGCCAAAAAAAATTTAAAGCGTGTCAGCACCAGGTGGCTCTCTCTTGGAAGGAGCCTGAAACGGCTTGTGGACCAGTGGCAGCCACTGCTTAGTTTCTTCCATGGTGAAGTAAGGCCCTCCGGGCATGTTTCCAAGTTTACCAGCAAGCCATGTAACCTTCGCACTGACCTTCAGAAGCATGCAAAGAAAGCGAAGAGCAAGACTGGACACAAATGTCCCCGTGTCGGATAGAGCTCCCAAGCGAACCCAAAACCGTCCAGGAAAGGTTTTGAACAAAGAAGAAAGGCTATTCATGTTTCTTTCATCAGATGCAAATAGAGCATACTGTGACTTCTTGCCGTTTGTAATCCCAGAGTTTGAAAAGGTGAACGTGTTCCTGCAGCCTGGAGCCCCTCAAGTGCACTTGCTGCGTGAAGTGCTTAATAACTTGCTAAGAGAGATCATGTTGAGTTTTGTAAAACCTTCAGTGATCAAAAAAGCTGATGTGTTGGCTGATGTTGACTACAAATCTTCCATCAGCCAATGAGATAATGAAGGCCTAAAAAAAAAGCAAGGGAAGAGTTTTTTACACATATAAGAAGGTTCTTCAAGTGAAGTGTGAGCTGCTGAAGAGTGCAGAGGTAGCAAGGCTTCGTCCATTGAACACGCCAGGTTTTCTGACGTCAAGTACTTTATCAACTGCTTCCCAGTGCTGCTACCACTTCGAGGGGCAAGATGCGAATTCTGCTCTGGATGACATTCAGGCACAGTTCACGCGTCTTTAGTTGGAAGAATTACCTGCTGGAGTACCTAAGGAGCAGAATGATGAGCAATGGCGGGCGGTGTCCAGTTTACGGGAAGTGAATGGCAGCTTTAAGTATGCCAGACTTTCAAAGTTTATGTTGGGGGTCCTAACACTCCCGCATAGTAATGCAGAGTGTGAAAGAGTCTTCAGCAAAGTGAAAAAGGCACACACCTAGTTCCGTGCCTCCATATCGAAAAAGACTGGAACAGTTGCTTGTCGCAAGATGTGCCCAGTTCCACTCGGGAAAGTGCCGCGAACTGGTCTTCGACAAGGACTTTTTGAGGAAGGCCAAAGCTGCCTAGGCCTCTATGCTAGCCTACTCCTCCACTTCCGAGACTTGAGAACTTTTTGTGCCTCTTTTGTGAAATGTTTCTTTTGTATTCCATTCATCTAAGCCAGTTTTTGGAAAATAAAGTGCAACTTTAGTATTTTTGTACTTGGTTTTAGTATTTTTTGTCATCTCCTGTAGTACTCTAGAACTCTGGGGTTGGCGGGTCTGTGTACAGTATTGCTCTTATGTGTAGTTAGCGAAGTCGTAATTTTAGGACACCAAATCGGAATCAAGTAGCAAAATTTTTTTATTCCCTCCAGTATGCAAGTTCATAATTGTTTTATTATTGTGATTTGCAGTTGATTGACATCAGTGATGATGGCTATGTCACACTAATGAATGACAAAGGTGATACCCGTGACGACCTCAAGCTTCCAGATGGGGAACTGGGCCAAAGGATTCGTGAAGAATTTCACAAGGAAGACAACAGTGTCATTGTAAGCTTTAAATCTTTGAGCAAACTGCCACCTCCTGTTGCTATTTTAAAGGCCTCTCATGTCCTATTAAGGTCATTTCGGAAGAGTATGTCTGGCTACAAAAACATATTGATCATGATTTCGAGAATGACTAAAACTGAATGCCATTTTGGGAATGATACATATTGAGACTATTTAATCTATTTAGTAAGGTATTTCAGTAAAATTAGCCTGCACTCTATAGCAGCACAGAAAAAAATCTTGATACCAAAAGGTATCATTGAACACTGCTGTAAAATGTGTTCCATTTAACAAGAGTTCCGCATACTGAGAGATAAACAGGGGAACACAGTGCAAGAGCGAAACCAATACTGTCAGAAGCATTTGTCCCATTTAAGTAGCAGTTCCGTTAAACAGATTTTTGTTTACTGAGTCTATTATATAATTTGTTACAGATTAAGACACTTTCCTTCAATGATTTTATGTTCCGTTTAAGATGCAGCTGTAGCCAAAGACCTGCCATGTGGAGCTATGCTGTTTGTATTGTCACTGAGATACATAATCATATAAGAATTCTCTTGCATCGATGCCCTCCAATCTTGAAATTTAATTAGCTCATGTTATCGTTCATAACATGTCATGTCCCTTTTAGCCACAAAAAATAGCTTAGCTCCACAGTCTTGTTTCTTAAGAGCTCAACGGTATAAAATTGAAAAAGATTGCCTTACAAAAACATGATGAAAAGTTCCTTAGGGCTGGTCAGGTTAGCAAAAAATGTGAAGCTGAAAAAATCGCATGTGAAGTTTCGACATGCACTGAAAAATTTTCTATAAGGAACTTTAACCACAAATTTTATACACATGTTCCCAATCTATTCGCCTGCAAAGCAAACGAAAATGCCTTTTATTCCACCCTTTTCCTGGAATCGCTTCTAACGAAATTTTTCCAGTGTGGAAAGCATTATCAGAACCCCGCACCATGACAAAGTTGTTGAGGGGTTCTGGAAAAGCCATTGGGAAAGAGGCTCAAACAACTAGCTGTTAGGCAGCATGCTGCCTTGTGTAATAAGTTGCTGAGACAGTAGAAAATACAGTCAACGTTCCGATTTCCCAGACCCTCAAGGGACCATGAAAATGTCTGGATGATTGAATGCACGTAATAATGTACCTTTTTTACAGGTGGTATTTTTTGCTGACGGAAAGGGCATGGCAGGAGTGAAAAATTCTCTCCACAATTTCGCAGTTGCATTGTTAGGGGACTCTGAAAAGAGCAGTTTAAAAAAACGACGTGGCCGGTGCTACCTCAGTGGTCAACACGTTGGCCCCCAAAAAAGTATTTTTGTTTGCACTGCATTCCGCTTGCTCGTGAATGTTTGCTTCAATTTCAGCTACACCTCATGCTGTCGCTGTTCACCGATGAGTGTCATCAGTGCTCGTGTCAACTCTGAGCTCTTTCAGGGTGTAGGCAGTGCCGGAAATCCGATGGCGAAGGCTATAAGCGCCGACTCCAAGGAGTTCAAACTTTTGCTGGGTAGCAGACTTTCTAGACAAAATGGTCCTTGTTGTGTTCCCAGACAAACTGTCCTCGCTGCGCCTGCTCTGCCGTTGAGTATTACGCAGCATCAATAAAAAAGTGTATAGCACGTCGAACTTGGTCCCACGGCGTCTCCAGTAGACAGCGTCGTTAAAGTTTCTGGCAGATCCAACGGGCCCGGCCACGACTCCAACTCAGCTGCCAAAGGTGTACTTGTAGCCGGCGCCTTCTTCTTCCAACGCCATTTTTTTACGGCTTCCAAAAGCTTGTCGCTTTGATGGTCACCAGGCATCACGATAGCTGTAAGAAAGTACCGGTGCAAAGCGAAAACGCGGTGCGTCGAGAAACACTAGCGATTATAAAGCAGGCGCAAGCAAACTGACAGCCACATTGGCCAACGCAACAAAAAAAAAAAATTACGCGTCAGTCCCGCCAGCCAATGGGAGGCACGCTTGAAAGACGTGCCACGTGAAAGCCAATCAGCCATATGGAAATGATCTTCGGAAAACACGCGGCGGCAGCCATTCCGCTTGAGTGACACCATATTGAGATGGCCCAAAATGTGCACAAAGAAAACAGCTTCAGATCAAGCCCAGATGGTGGCGCTCCGTTCGCTGCAACGCACATGGCGCGCTCGGGAAATTCGAACAAATTTCGTTCTTTTGGGGGCATTTTAGTGCGATCGGGGTGAATTTAAAGGCCGATTTTATTGCAATTTCCAACCAAATTCATCGTTAGCAATTTCATAGTAGGTGCTCAGAAGTACAAACAGCCCCGCCGCGGTGGTCTAGTGGCTAAGGTACTCGGCTGCTGACCCGCAGGTCGCGGGTTCGATTCCCGGCAGCGGCGGCTGCGTTGCCGATGGAGGCGGAAATGTTGTAGGCCCGTGTACTCAGATTTGGGTGCACGTTAAAGAACCCCAGGTGGTCAAAATTTCCGGAGCCCTCCACTACGGCGTCTCATAACCAAATGGTGGTTTTGGAACGTTAAACCCCACAAATCAATCAGAAGTACAAACACTCCAAAAATAAGCTGTGCGAAAAATCTATTTTTTGCCATTTTTTACCGTTCCAAGACCCGCATCCCCCCTTAAGGTATAATGACCCTGCTACTCATCGTAGCGGATGATCATTGTGGGTTCACGCTTAGCGAGCCACATACACCTGCTCGCGTGTAGCGCACCGCTGCGCGCTCGCTCAACTAATAAGGCGTTTAGCGCGGCGCGGCAAAGCAGTGTTGCAATACAAAATACACAACACTTTATTGCCTTTGGCGGCACCCCGAACAACAGTACAGCGTCCGCTCCCGGGACGCGGAGAGCAAAGGCACCCGCACGCGGATGTTCACGATAAGGGGAAACCGCGAGCATTGACATGCCGGTCAGGAAAAGGTCCCTCGCGGCTATGCTGCAAACTCTCACGGTGGCCACTGGGCCTGGTCGCGAGTGTTAGGGCAAACCTCGTACGCGTAGGCCTACGGCAAGTGCATCTCGGTGTGGTACAACCACTTCAAGCATGAGGCACCGCTGTGGGCTTAGCGTACGGTACCGAAGCTAGCAATCAAGTAAACACGCCTGCCGAGGTGCCAAAGGCCACCCCAGGCAGTCTACAGTCCGGCGATTCTCAAGGGGGACGCGGACGAAAGAAACACGTGCTTACCCGGCGCCGACCACGGAGGAGAGCTCCCTCCACCCGCATGTACCACGTGCCGTGCCCGCACGGGGCGCCATCTATCGCCACGTGCCATTACCAGAGCAGAACAAGCAAAAGGGTGTGGCAGTGCGGCGAAATGGTTGCGGGCGCGCCTCAGATCCTCACAAAGGAAAGACACTACTCTTCGAGCCCGAAAATTTGCCAAAAAATTGAATTTTGGAAAGTTGTTTTTGTATTCTGTCTACATCACGCACGTGTGTGTGCTAGTTTTAGTTTCAAAATCTCGCGTTTGCACTCCCCCAGACCTTTATAATGGGGACAAACTGCGCTTATTTTGGCTGCTTGAAAGGCCCACTCCAACGCGGCCCTTTCGGTATTGTTGAAAAGCTCCCCCGTTTGGCTTATATTATCGTTTCGTCGGGCAACACTGAACTTGTGACTTCATCATATAAAGAGAAAAGAGAAAGGCGTAAAATGTTGTCATTGGCCACTTCCGATCACGTGGCTAAAGTGGCATCGTCTTCTGATTGGCTTAGGGCGCTGCATTGAAAAACCCGGCTAGTTCACGCGCCATTTTGGCTTCGGTTATGATCTTACGACGGACGTGCTTGCAGGACCGAGAAAGTTCCACTCAGTGCATCAGATTGGCCGAAGGCGACCCAAAATGAAAGGAAAAAAAAACTTGCCAATGGCAAGACATCACCGGCTTCTCCAAGCGAGCGTCGTTGCTTTGGCACCTGATAATGGCGATGGAGGTGATAGTGGTCAGCTTCACAAAGGCACGATATCGCGCCGCTCTGCAACCGATGATCAAAAGCGACTCGGTGCATTCGACATCGTCGGCGCTGGTGGTAGCGGCCCGCAAAATAAGGGCATGTCGTCGATGCAACTGACAGCGATCCTACAGAGAACGAGAACATTATTCACGTTGACTCTAGCGTGATTACCTGTCCTGGAGACTCCCTGATTTTGAACGTTTCTTCCGTTTTAAGGTTGTCACGAAAATCTTCCAAAAATTGGAATTTTTGTGCATGATCTGGCCGCATTGTTGATAATGCAGATCAGTCCGCTCTGGGCCTTTGCAAACCCACCGCATTTTATTATAAAGGAATTTAGTAGGCATTCATCTAAACGAACAGTAATCTCAGTGATGCGAAACTGCGGCAGGTATAAATTCGTAAAATTCCCCAGCCAAATTCTACTGTGTCCATTGGGCCAGCAATGGAATGTTCCAAACACTTTTCCAAAATGCGTCGTATGTTGTAAACTTCAGTACCGAAACCGTTGAACGAAGGCCGATCGAGAACAGCGTGCTCGAAGCTTCAGAACTACGCGTGCGAGCAGAGCACGCATTATCTTCTACAGTGCATGTGGTTGTTGCCACAATCACAGTGGACGAAACCGAGGTCTTTCTTGACACGATAATGTATGGTGACTGTTACTTACAGTACAGTCGAACCCTGCTACAACACAAGTTGACGGGGAGCGAATAAAATTTCGTAGTGAAATAAAAAAAATATAGCTCGTCTGAGCTAGAAAAACAGAGGAACGTTTATTTTCGAATTCAAAGAATGTCCGCTGCTTCCTATTCTTTCCCAGTAGTGTCGCGACGTCATTCACACCCTTGCATAGTGAGGCAAGCATGGTGAAAAGCAAGCTGAAACGCCTAAAACTGCCTTCGTAAATGAACCAAACAGTTGCATTAACGCGTTAACACCTGCAGCTGTCCGCCATCAAAAGTATCCAGCAACGCCGAGATCGAGGCAGGGTATCGTGAGCGGCGACTTTTGCATTATTCTATGCGATTCTTATCATCAATCACTCGCAACTAGCTGATTTTATTGATAATGTGAACAAACAGCCGCTCTGATTAATACCAAACTGGCCAAGCGCGAACATAATGATAAGCATCGTAATCTGAAAAGGCATCGTTCTGTGGTTGCACCCAGCAGCTGCTCGAAGGAAACTATGAACTGAGCGACTGAGCTTCAGCTTCGGATCGTCTGCGGCTCATAAATAAGCCAGTGGCAAAAGCAGGGTACTCTCTTAGCCATCGCTATTGAGCAATGGCGGCGCCCATGCTTGCTGAACAGCGGCGGTTTTCTGGTGGTGCCAACAAGTGTTTTAGACTTTGTTCGTGCATTTTCAGGCTCTGAAGATGCATCGAAATGTTAGATTGGGTTTACTGCATAGCAATAAGTACACTCATACCTTGTTATAACTTAACGGGATATAATGAAATAATGTATATAACAGGATATAACACAGTAAATGAAATTCGTCTTGAAAGATCCATTGACAACCATGCATTTTATAAACCTCGTAACGAAGTAAAATTGACCGGTAAGTGGATATACCGAACTAAATTAGTCTACCAAAAAACGGACCATTTTGTGTTACGTATATATTTCTGTGGAGTGACGCTCGTCCAGCGCGGCTCTTTCAAAACTTCTGCGCCGACCTTACAGCCGCGCTACACGCGGCTGCAAAACCATGCAGTTCCAAAAAAACCATCGGACCGTTCCTGACGTTACAAGCGTGGTCACGAAGCCAGTAATTCATACAGCGGCTGGTTTGTCTTATGTAGTGCTTGCTGCATAAGAGAGGTATCTGATAGATTATATTTTCTGCACACGTGACCAACAGTGCTCTGTGACTTTTAGAACAACCTGGTTTTTTGTGTGAAACAACTGTCATACACAAGTACAATAGCTTTTCCGGGGCAGGAAAAACTACCTCTATCTTTTTCGAATTGTGGGAGATTCCATGTAGATAAGGAACTACTCTAAGCATTCCTCGAAGTGAATGCAACGAAGGGCTAATTGCTCTCTCATTTTGCACTCTCATTTTACACATTAGTTCATGAGTGCCACAGCAAACGTGTATTAAATATAAGGTCGAGGTTATGGCCATCAAAAAAACTCATTGGCGATATTCTATAAGCATGATTTCTTAATGCTTGAAATGTGCTGTGGTTTGATTGCTTGCATTAATTTCTCACAGGTGACTGTAATGTGTGCTGTTGGCATGGAATGTATCATTGCGTGCAAGAATGCCAACTAAGCAAAATCAGAGAGAAGACATACCCGGCCAATGAAACGCAGCCGCTGCCACTCAAAAAAGAAAGCAAATAGGGGGGGAAAGAAGAGGATGTCACAGCCGTACAAATGTCCGACACACACAAGGGGACGTGGTGGTTTGTCATCTACACTGCATGGAGAACCCAAGTCCGGGAGGGACGACCGGATTGAGCTGCGGCTGGTGGAAATCTATGATCACTCTAGTGTGCTTGTTTTTTCTGACTATGTCTGACTTTTCCTTTTTTGTTTCAGTGCTATAGACATTTCTTGTTTTTCAAAATTTCTGAGGAGACTGATATTTTTCTGAATGACGTGTTCATGGTGTTCTGTGTAACCACAACCTCATCTTGCTCGGTGGTGAGGAATTGTGAGAGTGCCTGTTAGCTTCGTCACATTTTTCTTAAGCTCTGGGTTCTTTTTACATCTGCACATCTCTGTAAAACTCTGTTTCATTGTGGGCTGGGCTAGCAAGGGTTTGGGTTTCATTGTGCTATGGGATTCTTTGTATATGAAGTTTTTGGGCCCCTAGGACAACAAATTAAAGCTGTATACATAGCTGGTGTTAACCCTCCCCTTCCATTCTTTTAAGCTTCTGAAGTTCAGGTATTTTCAGTTCAACAAGCTCTCTTGTGTCATGGCTTTCCTTTTGTTGTTTTAATTTGGAATTAAATTTTTTTTATCAACATCTCTTTTTTTTTTTCTACGTGTTTTTTCCCTACGGTGTTTCTCTCAGCGATTGGAACACTTTGATTGGGTGTAACTTGGGTTCTTTTTTTCCACCATTGGGAGTCCTGCTTCCATAGTTTTGCTCCCAATTGCTTTTTTTTTTTTAAGTGTCGACTAAACATGAGTTGTGGAGTCAAGCGGCTCGATGAGTCTCTTGGCGTAATAAATTTGTATTCCAATATTTCATCTGCAGCCTCTTATGTTTGTTGATAAAATTTATAGCAAGCTATGTATGCCAGTGCATTGTGCAAGGTTGTTGCCCATATGCCATGACATCTATGCTATAATAGTTGGATAACATTTCATTCATAAAGGACTTAGAGCAATACTACTGCCTGGAGTTTCCAGGCAAACTTGGCAAATGCTAAAGAGGACCCTGTCTGTTTTTTTTTTTTTTTGAAGCTTTTGGCATTTAGACAACAGCATTACCAATCATTCACACCACAAATTAACTTAAGCGACTTCTTGTGTACCTAAGCAGGTATGGGCAATTATATCTACAGTGGAATCCTCTTAAACGAAACTCGAAGGGGCAAGAAAATTTGTTCCATTTATGAGAAGTTTTAATTAAGCAAAGCCCGCAAAATGAATAAAATATGGCTTTATTTCAAAAGCACCAACTGTGGCTAACTGAACAAAAATATTTTTAAGTATACAAATACTACTATAGTATTAAAAAGAAAAATGTTTATATTATTGCTGACTCGGAAAAAAGGAGGTGATAACAATTTGCTTGACCTTGTTCAAGCACTTTTTTACTGTTGGAGCGCATTGCAGAAACGTTGGGCAGGAACTCTCTGCCACCACCGTGTTCAAAGTAGTGCTGTAACAAGATGACAACATCTCTTGCTGCACTGTCAGCCATTAAAATGGGCTCTGGATCACACGCCATCTCATTACCCCTTGAGCACGGGTCCTCATTTTGAACTTCAGACCTTCCTCTGTATACCCTCCTCACTAATGGTGGCGAGGTTGGGCTGTAGGTGGTGTGAGGGCTAGGTAGACAAGGCACAAAGGCTGAGGAGGCATGGCAGTACCAAACGAAGGCGTTTATTCATAATTAAAAATGCATCCCTGCTGTAGGCGAGAGCGACCAAAGTCCTCACCCGCACTTGGGCCTGTCGTTGAGCTGACATATGGGCGCCGTAGGTGGCACTGCTAATCAGGTGCTACGCTATCGCGCATGCGGGCGCTCACATCCGCTCTCTCCTTGTTAGACCAAGTTTCTTTGGTTGCTTCATTGTGGAAGGTAGTCCTTGAAGCACTTGGGCTTGGCGATGGGGCCGGGATGAGGGTGCCACTGGAGACAAAACTGCAGGGGCGGTGGAAACTGGTGGTTGGGACGTGGCGTTGGTGGGCTCTGGCTTGGCGTAGTCAGTGGGCTCTGGTTCGGTGTAGTTGGTGGGCTAGGTATTGGTGTAGTTGTACTAGAGCTCGATGTAGCTGGTGGGCTAGGGCTTTGGTTGGCTGGTGGTCCCGAGATCGGTGCAGTTGAGGTCCTAGGGCTCTGCGTAGTTGGCAAACTGGGGCCTGTCGTAGTCCGTGTACTTGGTGTTGTCAGCCTTGAAGCTGGAATCGCACTTGGAGGTGGTTTTGTTGAACCCATGGGACTCTGCTTTGCAGTAGTGGTAGTTGCATAGTGAGTCGGGCTGCGTACTTGGTGGACTGGGCCTTGTCATGTTAATGTAGTTGGACTCTGCGTTGTTGTTGGACTGGGTGTTGGCGTAGTTGATACACTCGTGCTACAGAGCTGAATGGCGGCAATGGACAGGTCAGTGCAAACCGCAATCGTTAAGGAAGCGTCTTGTTTGGATTCAGAAAAGTAGCTGTAGGTGTTTAAAACGTCTTGGAAAGATAGTACTAACTACGGCGGTTCATCCGGGCCTGGGAGGGGCATTTGCTGGAGACCTGCTGAGCTGTTCTATTCAAGTACATGGCTATTGAAAGATAACCCCCACATCATGACAGCATTTGACATATTGGGAACCAGTTGTTCATGGCACCGTACACTTGTTCCTGTTGGGGAATGGAAAATTTCAGTTGGCATAGGTGGCTGGAACACATGTGCATGGCTTGTATAAACCAGTTTTCACCCAGTATAAGTGGCACGGCATTATCAAGGATGACTGCTTCAACTAAACCAGTGATAAGTCCCACAGATAGCTGCTCGAGTCACTGTCGTTCCACCAATGACAACCAGAGGCAGTCTAGTCCAGGGTAGGAAGGCAGGGTTCGTACAGGTACTAGAAATTCTTGATAATCCTTGAATTTGCAAAATGTACTTTTAAGGCCCTCGAAAGTCCTGGAATTTTTGCCATCCTCGAAAATCCTTAAATTACCTGAGCAGTGCACTCCATATTGACATTGCGACCTCATAAATGTGGTACATTGGTGTGTCAACCTGTCAAACTCCCCATTTCTGAAGCAGTGATGCAGCAGGGTGCATATGATCCCATTTCGCAAAAGTGCATGTGAAGAAAAAGTTTGTGGCGAGGGTGAAGCAGTGAATGTATTAGCAAGAAACTAGAATGTCACACGAAAGCTAAGCAACCCCATACATGCAACATGCCGCTCAAGCGCGAAGGACGCATGAAAAGAAAGCGCACAGGACGAGTGCGGATGAACGATTGTCATAGCTTGACACCGGAAGCGTGCTGCTAAAACAAACCCAAGAACAGTGTTAGGTAAGAACACGCATGTATTCACAGGATGAGTGTAAATTAAGCACTGTTACAGTTGTTACTTCTTGGTTGTTGAGCAACGTGCTGCGAATGTCAACTGTGCACAAGTCGGCACTTTTGATGGGGTGGTGCCATCAAATATCAACACTACAGCAAGCACCAATATATTTTAAGTCACTTTCCAAGTGTACCTAAATGCGCATTCTCCTAATCGAGGCCCATTGCGAATGCGTTCAACACTGACGTAACTCTTCAGGAAGGGCATCTAGTGACATTACACCAGATCTGTAATGAGCTGAGTGACTTACGGACTTCTGCCCCGTACATACTAGCAAGCATTGTGGCTGCTGCAAGTAGCAGCGAGTTTGTTTTGGAGGTGCTTGAGTGGCACATGTGTGCGAGAGCTGACAATACTCAGCATGACACGTGCAAAGCTTTGTGATCACGTGACTAAATAAGCTACACTGCTATGTACCTGCACAACTCGGTTTCCAGAAACTTGGAATTGTCTATATCAAAGAGGTGACAAATTATATAGCCAGATTAAACAAATCTTGATGCGTGTATTGTACTTATTGGAGCTATAATTAAAGCTTTCAGCAAAGGAACACGCAAACCACATCGTGGCATGACTCCTTCAAGGCCCGACTACACTTGCGCGTGGAAGCCCATCAGTTTTCCGACATGACATCGTGCCCTCTCCCTATGGAGAAAGTACGGGAAGTTATTAGTACCATGCTTTGTTTATAATTTTGATATATATTATAAGTGCAATGAAATTGGACATTTTTGAAAATTTGAGAGTGAAGAATTCCAATTTAGCCTGCCAGATTGAGTCCTTGAAAAACTTCAACAGGTCTTGGAAAGTCCTTGAATTTTCCCTTTCGAAACCTGTACGAACCCTGGGAGGGGCAAAGAGTTGACCAGGTGGCGAGAAACAAGTAGCTTTGGATCCACTGTCAAGAAATGCGTCTACTAGGCTAATCCCAGCAATTGTGGTGCTCACAAGGGCACACTGGACGAGCGATCCTCCCAGGGTCTATGAAAAGGGTGCTGTGAAGAGCTGGGGGAAGGATGGGCTAGACACTGAGGCTGTAGTTCTAGATGGGCACTTGGACGCGAGATGTCCCTTTCGGTGGCACTGAAAACACTGCGTCGTCCAAGTTCTGGCTAGGACAGCGGGCTGGAGCACCATGCTTCACAAAGAGATTGTGAGTAGTGGTAGAGCTAAAATTCACTGTGGCTGGCTTGTTTTGTGTGATACGGCCTCAAGATTAGTGTACTCTTCATTGTGGTGGGATACCTGTGGGTTTGGCGTTGTGGTGCTTAAAACTATGGGAGTCAACGAGAAGAGTGGGTTTATGTTTGATCAAGCACGGTTACGATGTCCATATACTCAGCGACAGTTTCTGGTTGTTGCGCTGCAATAGTAGTGGCCAGGTTCACGTTAGCGACGCCTTGAAGAGCCTAATCTATGCGCCGAGTATCCGTGAGTGACTGGGTGTCCTGAAATGAGCTTCACTTTGCTAGAGTAGTTGACAGGGGTTTATCCATGCGCTTGCACGCGACAAACGTTTGTTGCCACTGTAGCAAGGTTTGCTTGGCGATGAATCGTTCTATGAATGCCTACCTGAAGGTTTCCCTAGTGGGGCACTGATGGGTAATGACAGCTGTCCAATCCGCGGCTGTGACAGCAGCGCGTTGTGACACATCAAGGAGCTGCTGAAGTAAACCGGTACGTAGTGCTGCATCGAAGCTCGATGGAAGTGGCACACTCAGGTGCTGGCTGGGCGCTGAGGTGTTTGGGGAAGGCAAAAGAGGTGTTGAGCGATTTTGGTCGATATTCGCGATGAGCTGGTTTATTATTTCTTCCTTCGTCCCGGCAGTGTCAAGGTTTCGGCAAGATAACTCTTCACAGAGGATGTCCACTCTAAAGCCGGTGTGGTCCTCCGGGGCAGCCTCGCTCCAATTCACGAGCATCGTGCGCTCACAATGAAGTTGCACAAGAGTCGCGAGAGATGAAAAGGTGGGCAAGTCGAACCGTTTAGGCACTGCAGGTGAGCTACATCATCGGGCGGGCGAATGGGTGTCAGCACGACAGTCGGCGACACAAAGGGCAAGGTGCAGAATGGCTCGGACCAAGCGGGTGATAGGCTTATCGGCGGCAGAAGTTACACTAAGGACGAAGCTGATACCAGTGCTGTGCGGCCAGTCCGGCGAATCTCTTCACAAGGCGGGCGAAAGGCGATATTCCACGCATGGTTCGGCGTCGACTACGCTAGCTGTGAGGGCTAGGTGGGCTAGGCATAAAGGCTGAGGCATGGCAGTACCAAATGAAGGCGTTTATTCACAATTTAAAAAGTGTGTCCTGTAGGCAAGAGCGCCTGAAGCTCCTGGCGCGTGCAGCATTGTAGGGTGGGGTGTTATATACCCTCTCTTGTCTGCCGAAGCCCGTGCGCGTTAGTCGTTGCTAGATTCTCGCCATGCACCGAAAGAGTTCTCTTA